TGGGCTTGGCAGCAGCGCCCCCTCCAGCCGGGAGCCTGTGGCGCCCATCCTCAGGGTGGGGTCTCCTGGAGCTCCAGGCAGTCAGCCCGTGGTGCAAAGCAGCCGGCCTCTGTCGGGACACGCCGGCTGGCAGGTGTGAGCTCAGGTGCAGCTCAGACCTCGTCCAGAACAGGGAGCCTCTCCCTCGGCTCACCGGCGGCTTCTGTGTCAGCACCTGGACCACCCCTCCCAGCCCCTGTTGGACCGGCTCCTCCCTGAGCCCCTCCCGCCCCGGCTTCCCGGGAACTGGGGCCCGGACGTCCTCCTGCCGCCCGGGGTGTGCCTCGGCCCCCTGGCCTGGACACTGGTAGCCTCAGTCCCCCCTTGGCGGCTCCACGTCCCCTGCCTTCTACTTCCCAGCCTCCCGCTCCCACCTGAAGCCAGTCCTGAGCCGGTCTTCCCTCTCTGCCAGCTCAGCCCCCACAGGGCACCCTTGACCCTCCTTCTCACCCATCCACCCAGGTAAGCCTGCCCCGGGCCCTGCCAGCCGGCCTGTGGGCACCGGCTGTGTGATGTGGGCCGGGCTGCTCACCCTCTCTGGGCCCCAGTTATCTCAGCAGCCAGGCCGGTGGGGTGGAAAGGGCCCAATGCTGGGTGTGTGGCCAGGGCTTAGCCCTACGACCCCTCCGTCTTGAAGCACCAGGACAGCCCCCAGCACCTCCAGCCTGCTCCCTGCCTAACAGCACTGTTCAAGCTGTGTTTCCAGCTGTGTGGGCTCTGGATCTTTGGAGCCTCAGTGCAAGGAGAGATGGGACTCCCAGAGCGCAGGGCAGCAGAGGGCACCCTGAGCCTGGGATGAGGCCATCACGGGGATGCTGGGGACTCCCCCCCAACCCAGGTCTCCTCAGGTTGGGGGGGCCAGAGGAGCTATCATAAGCCTGGGGGCGTGACCACCTCGTGCCTGGGGCCCCGATATTTGCCAGCCCCCAGCCCCACTCCCCGGTCCTCCCCTGCAGCCCCTTCTGTCCACCCTTCTCTGTTATTCAGTCCACTACTGCTGGCCCTCCCTGGGACCCTGCATCAAACTGGGCAACATAGGGGACCCAGAGAGGTCTCTGAGCCCGCCCCCCCCCAGCCCTTGAGGGGCTCCCCTGCAACCATGGCTGCAGCCCAGGGGCAATGGAGGGGGCCAGTCATCCTGACGGCAGAGTGGCGGGGGCAGGGTGTCAGGAAGACTTCCTGGAGGAGGAGGGTCTTGAGCTGGGCCTTGGTGGACAAGGGGGTTTTGCTGGGGGAGGAGTCGAGAAGGGCATTCCAGGCAGAAGGAACAGCCTCTGGGTTTGGAGTCCCTCTGACAGCCTGGTGGCGGCTGAGTCATCAGACCAAACCCAAGAAGGCAGTAAGAGGGCACTCTAGGCCGGGCTGGAGAGGACCAGCCCCGCAAGAGATGCTGAGTCTGGTGTTGGACGCTGGGCCTGTTGGAGGAGGGCAGGGTGGAGCCTGCCTGTGCCTTTGAAGCGGGCAGCGCTGGCTGCCTGCCAGGCGGAGGGTTAATTAGCCCTAATCGAGGGGGTGCCTCCTTCCTCCACCCTCTCCTTCTGGCGTGGAAGGGAAGGGGAGGACAGGAGGCAGGCGGGCCCGCCCCAGCTGCACACACGGCCTCTGTCATTCCTATTGTGCTGTCCGGGGTTCCAGGGGGTCTCACGCATCACCCACCTCTGAGGGTGAGGGGCGTCCAGCTGACCCAGGACACAGCCGAGGGACTCTCAGCCAGGGAGGAGCATATGGACACCTCGCCCCAGCTCTGTCCCCTTAGCCAGGTTCCACACCCCTTCAAAGCTGCAGGGTTCCCTCCTCCTGGAAGCCTTCCTGGATGGATGCTTCCTCTGGGCTCCTTCAGCACAGCACTGAGCGCAGGATAACAGGCTCATCTGTTCTCTTTGCTCCACTCTGGGTGCTGGCAGGGGCCAGGCCTGCTCGTCACCAAGTCTGGGTCCCTAAGCCAGCGCCCTGCTCTCCAGTGGGCTCCTCATGAATGCCTTGTGGAGGAATGAGTGAAGGGTGTCCCCGCTGCGGGGGCGGAGGGGGCGCGCCCAGCGGGAGGCCGGCAGGAGCTGAGAGGAGGATTCCACGCAGGGTGGGCCAGGGAAGGGGCTTCGCAGCTGAGACCGCTGGGCTCCAAACCTTGCACTCCGGCTGGAGGCCACCCAGTAGTGGATGTGAGTCCACAGCCAAGGGCTGTACGGGTTGGGGGGGAGCCAACCAGAGGCCACGGCTCCTTCAAAGGCCCACCAGGGTTAGAGGAAAGCTGGGAGGTCAGTCTGGCCTGAATGTGAGGGCAGGGGGTCGTTCACGCAGTCAAGGATGTGTATTGAGCACCTACTGTGTGCCGGGAGATGCAGCAGTGAACTAGCCGGATGAGGCTGCTGTCGCCACGAGTGGGAGACGGACAGCAAGCACAGAGAGGTTGGGACGGTGTCTTGAAGGTGGGCAGGAGAACCGGGGGGCCACGGGGCCCACTGTGAGACCCCAGGGATGAGCACGAGAACACAGGCTGAGTCAGGGGCGGTTCCTGCCAGCGGCAGGGAGCCCTGGAAGGGTCTGGAGAGGGCAAGATCGGCCATGTCCCTGGAGGAGTGGACAGGGGCCAGGGAGGAGGCTGGAGCTGGAGCAGCAGGGGACAGATGGAGAGCAAGCCTTAGGGACCAGTGGGAGGCGAGGCAGGGCTGAGGAGAGGTCTCGAGGGACGACCTGCCTGCTGCTGCCCGCAGGCTGGTCACTGTGGTGCTCATCGGCGTGAGTGTGGCCTGGATCCCGGTCCTGCAGGGCTCCAACAGTGGGCAGCTCTTCATCTACATGCAGTCGGTGACCAGCTCCCTGGCCCCCCCGGTGACCGCAGTCTTCGTCTTGGGCATCTTCTGGCGGCGGGCCACCGAGCAGGTGGGGCTGGGGAGAGCTGGGGTGGGGCTGGGTGCACATCTCCCCCTGCCACCTGTGTGCCTGGGTCGGGGGGAAGCCTGGCCTTCCTCCCAAGGCCCCAGCTGCCCTGCCTCCTCCCCCAGGGGGCCTTCTGGGGCCTGATGGCGGGGCTGGCGGTGGGTGCCACCAGGCTGGTGCTGGAGTTCCTGCACCCGGCCCCGCCCTGCGGCCACCCCGAGGCCCGGCCTGCCATCCTCCACAGCATCCACTACCTGCACTTTGCCGTGGCTCTCTTCGTGCTCAGCGGGGCCGTGGTGGTGGCTGGGAGCCTGCTGACGCCACCCCCCCAGGGCGTCCAGGTGAGCCTGTCCTGACCCCCTGACCCTAGCTGACTCAGGAATTTTCTAGCTCTTGACTCGTAACCCCATCTGGCCCTGGTTCCTGGCCCTTTCTGAACTTGGCTGCCCTCTCGCCATCACTGACCGCTGATCCCATCTGGGCCCACCCCCGTCCCGCCACCCTCAACCTCACCCTCACCCTTCCCTGCAGATCGAGAACCTTACCTGGTGGACCCTGGCTCAGGACCTGCCCTCGGGAGCCAGAACAGGTGTGTGTGTGACCCTAAGGCGCTCCCTCTCACTCCCACCCACGGCGGGGCTGGATGCAAGGGCCCCGGGTGGGAGCCTGTGGCCCTCATCTGTCCCCGCCTCCCGCCCCCGCCAGGTGACCACCGAGCATCCCAGAAACATGCTTTCTGGGCCCGCGTCTGTGGCTTCAACGCCATCCTCCTCATGTGTGTCAACGTCTTCTGCTATGCCTACTTTGCCTGACACCGTCCCCAGACGCCCCCCTTCCCCACCAAGGATACAGAGGCCCAAAGGAGGGTGGCGTCCCTCGTGGCCACAGGGCAGGTCAGTGCCCAGGGGCTGGCTGAGCCAGCAAAGCAGGAGCTCTGAAAAATTAGGGAGGAAATGGGAAAAAAGAATGTGTGATTCTTCAAAAATAGTAGTCGTAATTGGAAAGAAAATGAGATTTCTGATGAACATCCTTCTACTCTTTTACTGTTTTTATTTTGAGTTCACGGGCCCAGGTCGTGAGCAGCGAATCTGCCAGAGCTCAGGGCTCCAGGGTCTCGGGCCAGCGCTGGGCAGAGAGAGCCCCTCTCCGCCCCCTCCCTTGGCTCCGGCCCCATCCCACCTGCCGCCCTCTCCCTGCTCACTGCCCCTCCACCACCGGCCTGGCATTCAAAGCCCTTTCCGAGCCCCTTCGGTCTGCCTGCGCCCCGAGGGCCCCAGGCTCCCCTGCTTGGGACCGCGCTGACGGCCCCTTCCCCGTGGACACCCTGCCTTTCCTCAAGCTGGGGCTCCACCGAGGCTGCCCACCCCGTTCTGGGTGCCGCTGGCCCTCAGAGCCCGGCTCTGGCCGCAACTCCCCACCTGGCCTGTAGTCCCCCACGCTTCCCGAGGCCCTGGTCTGGGCAGAACCTGGGCCTGAACAAGTAAGAGCAGGTGCAGCTATGTCTCCCAGGTGGCCGCGTCCAGGGCTGGCCCCTCAGAGCTTGTCCGTCCCACGGGGCCAGCGGAAGAGCAGAGCCTCCGTTTCTTTCTCCCTCACCCGCCCTCCCTCAGGGCCTCCAGCCTCCCCTGAAGTGTCTGTGGTGGGCAGGGGCGTTGGATCCCAGGTGGAACCCAAAGTCTCCGAGTCTGTCCAGCAAGTCCAGGCACAGGTGTGCGGGGCCCTGGCCGCCTCCCCAGTAGCCAGCCTTTGGGGCTTTTGGATGGAGGGGGTGGCAAGCCCGGCGGGTGCTCACCTACCCAGCCCGTGGTTCCTTGGCTTGAGCCCCCAGCGGGTGGGACCCAGGAGTCCTCAGCCCTCCCTGGGGGTGGTGCCATTGGTGTTTGGAGTGGGCGGGCCCTGCCGGCCACCTTGTGACATCACACAGCTGATGGCCAATGGGAAGAGGCCGGCAGAGGCCCCGGAGCTCCCCTAGCCCAGGGGTCCTGAATGAGGCGGTCTTTCTGGGGCTCTGGGCCCGTCCCAGTTGACATGAAGCACAGGAGGCCGGCCTGACAGTCAGGAGGCCTACATTGCAGTCCAAGGCCCTGGGCTGGGGGTGCCTGTGTCCTCTCTCTGGACCTCAGTGCCCGGTGGATGGCCGGTCCACTGGCTCTGCCCCTGGGCCCACTTGGGTCACAGGTGCACCGGCTGGACGTAGCTCCGCGGGAAGAAGCCGATGCGGCCGCAGAGACGGCCTCGCCACCAGCAGGGGTCAAGGCGCTCCAGGACCTCGATGATGTCACCGCGGCGGAAGCTGAGCTGGGAGGGGTCCTGGGCTGAGAAGTCAAACTGGGCCTGGGCAAAGCAGGCCCGGGGCGGCTGCGAGGAGAGGAAGCCGTCAGTGGGGCCCCTCAGGAGCCCCCGCTGGGCTGTCCCCACGGAGGCCCCAAGATAAGCAATTTCCCACAGGTGGAGAGGGGTCTCTCGGGCAGAACTGGGGTTGAACTCAGCTCTGTATCCAGGTCCAGACGGTGGCTACACCACCCGTGGGCCTCCCGCTGCCCACCCCCTGGATGTCTGTGGCACAGACCCTGTGTCTACGCAGGGCACAGCCAGTGTCCTGGTGGCACAGTAGGGACCACAGGGCCAGTGGTCAAGGGACCTGAGTCCTGGGCCTCAGCGTGGGACTTTGGTTAGGGCCCTGCCCGTCTCGGGGTCTCTTTCCTGACTCTGCAGCAACCATGATAACTTTTGACCACAGGCCCTAGAACCACAGGAACTGGCCTTGTAAACTATAAAGTGATGTGTAGCTACCAGCAGTTCACTGCTGTTGCCCTTGGTCAGGCTTCGAGGGCAAGGATGTCACTTTACACTGCTTACCTCTCTCAGGCCTGGTTCCAGTCCCATCTGTGCCCCAAGGTGACCTTGGGTGAGTCCCTGCCCTCTGGGGGACTTGGTTCCCTGCCCCCCCTTCAGATGGCAGCTAGACGAGGGCCCCCTGCTGGCACATCAGCCTGGCACCATGAGGATCACAGCCAGCGCCCCAGCCCGGCCTGCCCACCAGGCTCTCTGCCCCAAGCCTGCGGAATCTTATCCGGCAAGGGCCATAGCATCACGGACAGGCTAATTAGCGGTTCTCTGCCCAGGAAGGAAGAGGGGGTGTGGGTCCCAGGGGACTGAGCCAGCTCTGGAGTCGCCCTGCAGGGCCGGTGACTCCAGGGCCAGGCCAGAGCGAGGCGGTGGGTGTTGGGGAGCCCTCCGGTGACCCCCAGCTCCATCCTGGCCCCCTCACACTTTCCAAGGACAGAGCTGGCCCAGGCAGCGACGGGAGGGGATGGAGGTCTGAGAGGCAGGCCCAGCGGGGACTGGAGCAAAGAGTCCCTGAGGCTGAGCTTAGAGCTGGCCCGGCCCCCAGGGGCAGGCCGGGCAGAGCAGGCCGAGTGCGCTGATGGGACGGAGGGTGTGTGGCAGGGGTGGGGGCTCCTCCTGAGACGCTGTTTACTCCCCGACATATTAGGTCCAGGGTTCACCTTACCGGACCGAGGGGAAACTGAGGCCCAGGTGAGGGATGAACCGGCCCTAAGGTCACACTGAACCTCAGTGTCCTACCTGTAGGTGGGGCCGGGAGGCTCCCAGGAGGCTCAGCCGGTGTCAGTACCTTCACTCAGTCAACAGACAACCACTGAGCACCTACTGGGCACCACGCAGTGCTCCTGGCTGCAGCAGGCTCAGTTTGCCCGGCGAGTTTCCACCTGCCCCTTGCCTTCCTTCCCCGCCTCCGCCTTCCCAACCCTGCTTGTCTCCCTGCAGTGCCCGGGCGGAATTTTAGAAGCAGGGCTGGACCCGCCTCCCGCCACGTGGGAAGGGGGGTCGGGGCCCTGCGGAGAGGCCCCCTGGCCCGCCCGCCGCACTCGCCCACCTCGGCCAGGGGCTCCTCGTCCCGCAGGAAGACCTGCCGCTTCCTGGCGATGGTTCTGGTCCGGTAGAAGGCGACCAGCTCATTCAGGGAGTCGAATTTCTCCTCCCACAGGTAGTACTTGCCCGAGGCCTCTCGCAGCACCTTGAAATGCTGCACCTGGTCCCCGTAGCTAGGGGAGAGGACAGAGACCACCTCAGAGGGGCCAGCGGCGGCTGGGGCCCTCCCCCCGTCCCTGCCCCCGCACCCAGGCCCTTTTCTCTCCAGGTGAGGCTTGGAGTCAGGAGAGGACTGGGGGAGGGGGTCCCAGGCCCCGCTGACCGGCTCCGTGAAAGACACGGTGAGTCCCCACCTGGCAGTGGAGTGTGCAGCAAAGGATGTGGGCCTTGCAACAGGCCACTTTCTTGCTATGTGACCTTACGCAGAGCGCTCAACTTCTCTGAACCTCGGTTTCCTCATAATACCTCCCTTCTGGGGAAGTGCTCGTGTACTGGCAACATTAAATGGTTCCTCTGAGAGAGGTGGTCAGCCAGCATCTCTTCTCTCCAACGTCCCCCAGCCTCCACACTCCTGTCCCTCCCCGACCGCGTCCCCTCCCAGCCCTTACAGTCCCTTGAGGGGTGAGTCCTAAGACCATCCTGCCACCGGTGTGAGAGGAGCTCAGGCCTGTGGGATGCTTCCTGTCCTTCCCTGCCCCACATTCTCTCCCCACCGCAAGAACCTTCTATGGCTCCCCGTTGCCCTCAGGGCAAAATCTTAACACCTCAGTCTCAAGTTCTGGCTCTGATGACACGTCCAGCCTCGTTTCCTTCAAATACTCTCTGATGCCTCCTCTCCCAGCCTTTGCCCAGCCTTGCAACCCACCACCACCAAGTGCCTTCCAGCCCCGGGGAGGGGATAGCCTGCGTCTCCCAGACTGGCCAGCAGGCACGTTCCAGGCCAGGACAGGCTGTGCAGGCTTGGGGCAGCCTGAGTTCCTGCAGGCCCACAGTCCAAGTGTTTCTAGGGCGTGGACAGGAGTATGCTGTCCATCCCCCCAGTTGCCCATCCCTGCCTGTGGCTCACGCCCTCCACCTATCAGCCCTGGGGCTGGTGTGCTGCCTTGTTAAAGGTTAAGATGCAAGATTTAAGATAGAGAGAGATTTATTCCAGGTAAATACCTTCTGTTCTGTGTGTGTGTCTGGGGTGGGAGGAGGGGGGGGATCCTCCCACCCTGCCCAAGTCAAGGATCCAAACCACACAGAACCTCTCTCTCCACTTTCAAGCATGCCTCCAGGCTTCTGCATACACTATTTCTTCCAAACTTGAATCAGACTCCTACTCATGCTTCAAGGTCCGCATAAAATGGCCCAACCTCTGCAAGCTGCCTCAGGTGCCCTCAGTCGGAGTCCGGGGACTCCTTGGGTTCCTCGGCCCCTTGTACAGCCTGCCTGTAACCCGCTGCTCACAGACACCCAGAGGCAGGCAGGCGGGAGGCGGCCCAGCTCTAGCCCAGTCTGGAGAGGCTGGGCTCAGGGACAAAGAAGCATGGCCCGAGGGGTCAGTGCTCATGGGCTGCACTGTTCCTGGACCCTCCCCTCCCGGCTCTGAGCTGCGGTCCCAGCCCCTCTAACACGTGTCCACTCTCAGGGCAGCAAGCTCCCTGCACAGAACTGAGGCCAGAGAAGGCCTGAGACTCTGTGGCCAGGCACAGCCATCATCCCCGGCCCGAGACAAAGCCGCTCGTGTGCCGTCAGCAAGCGTTGCTCCCAGATGGCCGAGCCGCCACACTGTTGGCTGTGGGATGTGCGTGCCCGTGTCCTGGGATGGGGGGAGGATGGCCAGGCAGGCAGGTGCCTCCCGCCCCGTCTGGCCTGCTGCAGCCTCGGCCCTGGGGGCCGCCCCCGAGCCTGGGACTCCCTAGTGCCCTGTTCCGGCGGGCTCAGGGTTCTTCCGGTCCCTGGACCGTATTCTGGGAGGCAGAAGGCCCTGACTCCGTGCCGGCCCCGAGAAGGAGCACGGGGTGCGGGCGGCCCCCGTCCTCTGGGTAAGAGGCGGACGAGAGTGTGGGAGGTTTGAAAAGATCTCAGCCCCAAATGAGCACAACCCTGAACACTTTGGTGTTTGAAGTTTATCTTCAAAAGCTTATCTTACCCAGAGGGTCACCCAGAACGGAGCATTCCCTGATCACACCCAGGTCAGGGGGCGAGACCTGGGAAGGGGGCAAGGGACCCAGGAGTTCTAGAACCTTGCAACCTGATAATCAGCAGATTCTCAAACCTGGGACGCTCTCGTGGTCCAGCCCCCCAGCCTGTGCGTGGCTCGTGGTGGGAGAGCGGGGCCCAGCTGGGCTGCTGCATCTGTGAGCGAGTGTGGCCGTCCTGCTGTGCCAGCCCCTGGCCTGACCGGTGACCCGCCTCCATGTGCAGGCCCGAGGACCCAGCACTTGGGCAGTCTCTCTCTCTCTCCCAGCCAGCCTGTCTCCCACCTCCCCAGTTCCGAGTCTGAGTCCAGATGGCCCCTGAGCAAGGAGGATGGCCCTGCGGGGTGAGCCCTCCTGAGCTGGAGGGAAGGGCAGACCCGGCTCACGGGGCGGTGGACCTGGAGCTGGTGCACCACAGTGGGCAGAGCCTGGGGTGTGTGCATGTGTCTCTCCCTGCTCTGCGGGAGGGACCAGACGTGTACATCCCTGTCTGAGCTGTCATGGGTGTGTTTGTTTCTATGTGTGACCCCCATGCCCACCTACCCAGGGGGTTGAGGGCTGGGCCTGGCCCCTGAGCTGTCAGAAGACCCCAAGGATGAACTCAGGCCTGATGCTAGCAGCCACCGGTCCTGCCCAGCAGGTTCTTCTGGCTTGGTGGCGGCAGCAGCAGAGGTGAGAGTGGCAGCGGCTGCCCAGAGAGGATAAACAAGGCTGGGGGAAGGTCAGGAGCCCCAGCACCGCACCCCCACCCCCAGTCAGGGCCTGTGGACCCCCAGGGTGGAGGCCAGGGTGCTAACTGCCCGCTGGATGATCTCCGTTAGGCATGGCCCTTCTCTAGACTCAGTTTTCCTGTCTGTGAAAAGGGAAGGGGTGGATTCCCTGTCCAGCAGCCAACGTGAGATAGAATCAAACTGACCTTGGGACTGCCGGTGGAGACAGACTCCCCCTGGGTCTTTAGGCCTCAGGGAGGAAGAGTGGAAAGGTAGACCTGGTCTTTCAGGTCACAGAGGGTCAATGGGTTCTAGCTCCACTGTTTTCTGGCTGTGTGACCTTGGGCAAGTTACTGCATGTCTCTGAGCTTTTGTTTCTTTACCTGCACACTGGGCTTCCAGGGTCACTTCCTCCCTGTCTTTGAGGGCATAAAATTGTGCCCCCCCATTCTTTCCTGCTTCATTTTCCCAAGAGCCTTTATCATCTTCAAAGATTTTATATATTTTACTAATCATTTAGAAAATTATATGTATATACATACATGCATACATACATACATACATGTATAAAATTGTCAGTCACCCCAGTAGAACGTGAGTGCCTAAAGGACAGGGAGCTTCGTCCGATTTGTTGGTGGTTGAATCCCCAGCACCAGGCACAGGGCCTGGCGCACAGTAGGGGCTCAGCGACCAGGGCAGCAGAGCAAACACATCATTGACTCCAGGGCACCCCTGGCCTGAAAAGAAGTAAAACATCTCACTTGGGAGCAAACCGTCATTTCTGACAAAGAAGCCCACGGCAGCCTGGATCAGAGTGTGGGGCAAAAGTAACACAGCCCAGGCAGTGCGCCCCTGCCCCGGCCCACAGGCCACCAGCTCAGACATGCTCCCAGAGGTGGAAGGGGCAGCCCCCTGTAAACTCGTAAAGGGCAGCCAGCCGTGGCCACCATCACTCCGTGACGCAGAACAAGGCCCGTGAACCCCACCTCTGACAGCTTTATGAGGCTTGGCATGAGCGTGCGGGAGATGCCACGCCTATGCGGTCAGAGTCCCCAGGAGCGCAGCCAGAGAGGGCGGAAATGCTCTCACACACGGATCTGCGTGGCTGTCACCCAGAAGGGTGGCCATCGGCTCACTGGACTTCGTGGTGTCCAGCGCTACTATCGCCACGTTGCTGATGAGGACATTACAGCTGACGGGGACGGGATCTGCTGAGGTTACGCAGCAGGTCCAGGGCAAGGCCAGGACGAGAAATGGGCTCCCAGCCCCCATGTGGCCACTGGCCCTTCGCTAAGAGCCCGGGACCCTGGGGCGTGGGACAGGAGGCGCGGTGTGGCCCTGGGAGGGTCAACATGATGATGATTACATAGCTGGCATTTGGGGAGGACTCACTGTGTGCCAGCATCACACTAAGTGCCTTACATAGATGTTCATTTTACAGACGAGGAAACAGGCTGGGGTACCTTGCCCAGGGTTATACAGAAGTACCAGAGCTGAGATTCTTGCTCAGAAGCCCCCCTCCTAGCTGCCCTGAGTCTGTTTCCTGCTCTGATCCCTGCCCAGTGGCCCTCCAAGGGCCCTGAAAGGCCCCCCGTAAGAGACGATGGACCAGAGTCGGGGCAGGACCCGGTCCCGGCCCCGGGGGACGAAACCGAGGCTGGAGGGCGCCACCTGGTGGTCCTGTGAGCACATCACAGCCCTGGGGCCCAAGGTTCCGGCTCTGAGCTGGGGGAAGGGGCTTGGCCAGGATGCCTGGGGTGTGGGGGGGAGGGGGCATGTGCTGGGATTTCTCAGAGGGACACTCCCACCCCCCTTCCCAAGGTAGCATTGGTGCTGGCTCTGCAGAACTGCCTGTCTCCCCTCCTGGTCAGACAAATGCCTTGCTGTCCAAGCCCACCTCTCTCTGCCCCACCTCTGGGTCTTTGCACATGCTGTTCCCTGGGCCTGGCATCCCCTCTCCCCTCTTTGTGCACCAAACTCCTACTCATGCTTCGGGGCCCAGCTCAGATGTCACCTGCTCCACCCTGTGGAGTGTCTGCTGCCACTGAACTTCCCTCAGTCGGGCGTCATGGAGACCCCGGGCCCCCTGCTCCCGCGGGGAATCCTCCCCTGTCCTGCGCACACACACCTCCAAAGGTTGAGCCATCTGGGCTGACCCTCTGCAGGGCCCCGTTGCCCTGGGGTTTCCCATCAGGACCTGTCAGGCCCATCTCTCTGGCTGTGACCCCCCGTTGCTGGCTCTGCCCCACTCACCCCAGGCGCATTCCCACCCCAGGGCCTTTGCAATTTCTGTTCCCTCTGCCTGGAAGCCTCTCCTCCCGGATCCTGGATCCTCACTCCTGGGCCCCAGGCGGCCTCCACCGCCAGGTTCAGATCCCTGCCCACTGGCTCCTGCTATTTTCATTTGTCTCCTTCTTTCATGTGTTCAGTCTGCCTCCCCCACTAAGACATGCTACCCCAAAGGGCAGCAACTTTGTTTTTTTTTTTTCTCTGTCATTTCCAAGTCCCTAGAACAGCCTGGCACGTGGCATGTAGCTCAGTGACAATTCCTTGAATTGCTGCACCTAGATCCTACTGTTCCAGGCGCTGGGAGTAGGAAGGACAGAGACCAGCTGGGGCCCTGACCCCTTTACCTCCGACCCCGGTTCCTGCCCCTTCCTTCCAGGCTGGATTCCTCCATTGCCCGATTGTGACCTTTGGGACCGGGTTCTGAGCTGCCCAGAGGCTGCTACCCTGCTTCTGTGCCAGCCACTACTCTAATGGCTCTAAATAGAATGACTCATATATTCTTTGCAATAACCCATTTTACATGTGAGGAAACAGGCACAGAGAGGTTAAGGGACTTGCCCAAAGTCACACAGTCAGGAAATGGCAGAGCCAGAATCTGAACCCAAGCAGCCTGGCCCCAGGGTCCATCCTGTCCACTATGTAGCACACAGGGGAACCCTTTCCGGGGCACATCCTGGACACCTGCCCTGGGTGCCCGGCTGCTCTCCCACCCCCAGCCCCAACACATCAATCTCCCCTGGTGACTTGCTGCTCGTAGAACAATGGCCGAGCCTTCAGCCCGGTGCTCGAGGCCTCGCAGCCAGCCCAAGCCGCGTGGAACCCTCCTCCGGTCCACACCCTGGGGTCTGCATCATCCCCAACCCCCAGAGGGTCGCCTGCTTCCAGGCATCCGTCGTTCCCTCCACACCCTGCAGGCCTGTCCCTGGCCACCCTCCTCCACACACCCCGGGTCAGAACTCACTTCACAGAGACAGAGAACTCCCCTGGGGAACTCTCACTCTCCCGGATCAGGAAGGCTCCCGGGTGGTTCCGCTTCATCAGAATTTCTTCTGCCAGCTGCCGGGAAATCCTGCCCGAGTACCACCTGCAGAGAGGGGGCAAGTGAGGGTGGGGGAAGCCAGGCTACCCTGCCCCTATGCCAGGCACCCGACACTGCCAGGTCCTCACAGCAGTCCCGAGACACAGGAAATACAACAGCACCCACTTTACCCAAGGAGGCCAATGTCATGCGCCCGAGGTCACACACCCAAGGTCACGCGCTGTGAAAGGACAGAGTTGGGCCCAGTCCCAGCATTCTGGCTCCTGAGCCCAAGCATTTCCCACCACACCAGGCAAACACACACCTCGGTGAACCCCAACCCAGCCAACCCCAGCTGGGCTTTTCCATTTCAGATTCTTAAAAGTAAAAAAATATTTTAAAAGATGACCGCCCCCGCCAAAAAAAATAACAGCTTTGATCTGGTGAGGAAGGGTCTCTCCCTGTACCCGTTTCACAGATGCACAGCCTGAGGCCACCTGGACTTTTTCTCACAGGTTCAAGTCCCTTTTCTTTCTGACCAAACAGAACTGGGTATACAGAAGGTGCCTTGTAAATGCTGAGGGTCTGGCAGGACCTGGGGGTGAGAGGCTGGGATCCAGCTTCTCTTCCAGCCCTGCCCACTGTGCTCTTTGGGGCTTGCCCACCCTCGGAGGGTCCAGGTGGTCTCTGGCTGGCTACTTGGCCCCCGAATTTGAGCCCAGTCCCTTAGTGGGGGAACTGAGGCCCAGAGCAGGGGGAGTCTCCCGGTGGGACCTTGGTGCCCTGAGGGCCACCGGAGCCTCCCTTCCCTGTACAATTTCCCTTCCCTCCTTCAACCGAGCTTCCTGAGTCTGAGCGTGGCCCTGGGCGGATGTGAGGCAGAACTTTTCCTGTTGTATCAGGATGTTGACAGCGAGCCCTCCAGGCCCAGCACAGAGGCTCAGGTGCACACAGACAGAGTCCTGCCGGTAACCCCACCCGCCAGCCACGTGTGAGCCCTTGCAGTTCCTCCGAGGGCTTTTTACTAACGTGCTTGGCCTGTGTGCGGGGCAAGTTGGGCCCCCGGATGTTCTCAGGTGATGACAGGGGGGCAGGAGGACAAACACGCAGCTCAGCTCGGGTGCCGGCTCCCTGGTTCTGGCCACAGGGAGAGCCCGTCGCCCGGGGCCGCCAGTAGTGGCAGTGCCACCGGCTCCCTCTCTGCCCGCTTTCCAGTCCGAAATAAAGTCCTGGTCCTGACATGATGTCTCAGAGCCCCCCACCCAGAAGTGAGGTTCTAGCCCATCGCTGGCCCCCAAAACTGGGGGGACCCTGGGCCCATCTCTGGGCGGATGGAGGGGAGGCAGTGGAGGTGGGGGCCGAAGACGGGGCTCCAGGGAACCTCCAAGAGCTCGGCCTGGGTCTCTGGAGTCTGGGAGTCCCGGATGAGGCCTCCAAGCCGGAGGCTGAGCTCAGGGGGCCCCGGAAGGGCACTCCTCCGGGGAGCCCCCAGCAGGCCCCAGGTGCAGTGCTGCCACAGGAGCAGGGGTCCAACAGGGCCCTGTGTGGGAGTTTCCAAAGAACGCACAAAACTCCACAGGAGGCATCAGCGTGTGGGCGGCTGTCACCCTCAAAGGATTTTGCAACCGCAGCCTCGAGGAGGCCCGCCCTGCCCCAACCAGGTCCTCGGTGGCTCGGGGACAGGGTGCCGGAAAAGCCGCACTCCCGATGCCCCAGAGCACAGCTCGCTCCACGCGTGGACGCCTCGCTTAGTCCCCATTTTAATGATGTGGAAATTGAGGCCCAGGGAAAGGCAGGGATCCCCAAAAGTTGCTCCGCAATTCTCTGGCCTCCAACTCTCCCGCAGCTGCCCTTACAGATCCCCCATCCCCTCCCAGTGAGCACAGCCGGGGCCCACAGCACTGGCGGCAGATCTCACTCTGCCTCTTGCCAGCTGTGTGACCCTGGACAAGCCACTCAACCTCTCTGTGCCGCCACCTCCTTGCCCACAAGACCTTGACGAAAGCACCCAGCTCGCAGGGCCCTTGGGAGGAGCAGGGCGCTGCCGCCTGCAGGTGTTCACCGCTGCTGCTGTGAACTCCTCCCACGTGTCACCCATTAGCCTGTCTGCGGCCCTCCCAGCAAACTTCAACTCTACTTTCCAGGCCCAGCAGACCACGCCCTCCTCCAGGAAGCCGCCCTCCAGGAAGCCGCCCTCCAGGAAGCCGTCCTCCAGGAAGCCGTCCTCAACGCCCACCGGCCACGCGGCTGCGCCAGGTTCCTCGGTGACCCCTGCCCGTGAGGCCCACGGCCCCCCTCAGTGGGCTCCCTGGGCAGGCGGAGGTGACGGTGGAGCTCACGGAAGGAGTGGCCTGGTGTAGACACGAGGCCCCCTGGGACCCCTGCCCTGCCCCCGCCCCACACCCTGGAGCCCAGTGGGTTGAGTCAGGCACAGAGCTGGACTTTCCCCACTGCTATTTCGGGGCCAGGGCAGGGGCTGAGGTTAGCCAAGGATGCATCTGGGCACGGCCTCAGGCAGGTGAGCGTGTGGCCTGACCCCCATCCCTACTCTGTCCCAGACTCACGTGGCCAGAGCCAGCCCCAGGGAGCCCAGGGCCATCGGACACTGGAACCCTCCATGGCTCCCAGCTGCCCTGGTGGAGGCTTGCCTGAACCACCAGCATTGCCCCGACAGGCGTGGCCCCAAAATCTATCAGCTTCTCTTTCCTCCTGAGCAAACAGAAGCCTCTGCTTAGGCTTCTCAGCGGCCTCCTACCTCCCAACCTCCTGGCCTCCGCCGGGTCACAGCCTCCACCTGGAGGCTCCCGCTCCCCCCGTGTCCTCCGCTGGCCTGGCCCTGGCCGGGTTCTCGCTATCTCTCTCCCTTTATGAAAGAAAGTCTTTAAGGCCGGAGGACAGGCCCCTGCCCAAGGTCACACAGCCCAGAGGGACCCTGCGGGCCTGGAGTCCAGGCGGGGGACCTGGGTGGGTCGGGCCCTTGCCCAACACAGGAAGTCTGAGGTGGTGGCAGCTTTGGAAATAACTCGAAGACAGGTAAAGAGGAAATGACCTCCAGGCCCCATCCTGGCCCTGCACCTCCCTCCCGTCCACCCCACAGCCACACACGGACCCTGACCTGCCTTCAGGCAGGAGTTCCACTCCCCACCCGGCTCAAATGCCTCCGTGGCTCCCACCACCCTCCGCCAGGCGTTTGAGGCCCTCCTGCCGGTCCCACTGCCAGGAGTTCTCGTTGTTCCCGCTCCCAGGAATGGCCTTCTCTTTTT